AATAATAAATATCCGTAATTCTCTAATTTTGGAAATTTTGATACTCACGTCGCACTAAATTAATGTAAAATGATTTGATAATATATATAATTATGACAATTAAATTACATTCTAACAGATTAACATAAATGCTCAACAATTTGACAAAATTAGAGAAATACGGATATTTATTATTTATCAATTGACAGGAAGTAAGCAAAAATATTTTAAATTAATATTTTAATAATATATGCAAATATTATTGATAACGTATTTTGTTAATACTAATAGGAAGTAAGTATAAGACTTATCGAAGTATCTGTAATTATTATTAAATAATGGATTGTTTCATATTAATTCATTATATGGCAAGTATAAATTCATATTATCATTTCCAGAATTTATATTAATATTAATTTATTTTTATATTAAAATATAGGGAGTAAGTCAAATTTTAAAATACATTTGTGAGTCTTTGTATATTTCTAAATAATTTTTATTCTTTTTTTATAAAAATAATAGGTCGTAAGTATAAATTATAAATAATTTTGATTAAAAGTTTAATATACTAATTTTACTAATTGCATGTTAAAATATAAGAGAGTGAGTATAAATTTTTTAAGAAAGTTTTTTTTTCGATATGTTATTTATTTTAAATTATTTTTTATTCAAATCAACAGTGAGTAAGTATAGAATTATTTAAACGTTATTTATTAAACGTTATAATAAATTTTAATTTTAATAAATTTTTTAATTATTAGACTGTAAGTATGAAGTTTGAAAAATAAAAGTAGAAGGATTTTAAATATTAACAAGTGTCAATAATTTCTAGCATAATTATCAGAAGGTATATATTTACTCAAAATTACATTATACTGTATTCTATAAATTTTTATTTTTAATTAATTTTTTTCTTTTCCTCGCATTAAATTATTAGTCGGCAAGTATAAATTGATGTTAAAATAAACATTTTATTAAATAATAAGCTTATTTTTGTGATGAATTATTAGGCTGTAAGTATATTGTTAATTTATTTAATCGCCATTTAAAATTATGCCAATTTAATTGCTAATTTACTTAGTCGGCAAGTATTAAGTTCTTTAAATTAAATAATGAATGTTATAATAATTTATCTTCCATTCAATTAACAGTGAGTGAGTAGAAAATTTATTATCGTTATATAAGAATATTTGAGTATTGTATTGATTGATTCTTTTTTGAAATAACAGGAAGTATGTCTGAAGCTCATTTAATATTGTATCATATATAACTATCAAAATTCTTAATTTATTTTTTTATCATAGATTGTAATTATGAAATTAATTTGGCTATCGATAAGAATATTCGAAAATACTAATAGCTAATTGATTTTCGTGTTGAATAATAGAGAGTGAGTAAAGACTTATTCGCTTATTTATTAAAGTATATAAATATTATTTATTAATACTTCTATTATATGTTAATTAATAGAGAGTGAGTATAGGATTTGTTTATTATAAACATTTACCAATATTATTAAACATATTTGCGTCAATGATTAGGCAGTGAGTATAAATTTATTAGCTACATATTATTTTAATCAATTTGTGTCAGATTATTAGATAGATGCTAAGTTTATTCAATTAAAAATTAAGGTCATTTATGTGAATAAAACTTCTAACATAATAACATAATATATTTTAATCTATAATAAGGATGTAAGTATAAAGTTTATCAAAAATAATGCACCAATAGAATTTAAGTACATTTTATTACCGACTTGTGAGTACAAGTTTAAATTGTTCATTAAAATTGCCAAGCGGTATGTATCTAATTGATTTACTTATGGCATTTAGATATCGAAATTAATTATAAAATAATTCTCATCTTAATTACAAGTTTGTAAGTATATTGGTCATTTTATTTAATACTTATTGTTTCGTGTTTTAATATCAGAGCAAATACATGTTGATTATTGTCTCAATATTTATTAGGCAGTAAGTACGAATTAATGCTTGAAATAATTGCGTATAACTAAACTTCTGCATTTTACTCATTAAAAGAAAGTGGGTATAAGATGCACTTTTTTTTCAATTTCTTATTAATGATGTATATGGACTATACATTTGCGTGTTAAAGACGGTGAATTATAAGTTTTGTATTTTATTTTCATTAAACATTTGTTATTAAAAATTAATATGTTATATATGACTAATTACCAGACCGTGAGTATAACTTTACCATATGGCTTAATTTATCGAAAATTCGTTTACAAATAACCTAATTATTTATGCGTAAAAGGGAGTAAGTATTAGATAATCGTACTTTTAATGTTTGTTTATAACCATTGTATAACAATAATTCATTTAATTTTCAAAATTTCAGATCGTAAGTATATAATTTAAAACTATAAAATTAATCACAGAGAATAAGCCTTTATTTAATCTAAATTTGCTAATTCTAAATTTATTAGTTTGTAAGTGCAAAAATTTATTTCTTATAATTATTAAATGATTGACCATTAAACATAATATTTGCAATTATCAGGCCGTAAGTATATTTTTTAGAAAGTAAACATAATGTTTATTTATTTTTCAACTAAAATTAATCATGAATTTTTTAATTCATATAAATATTAGGCGGTAATTATATAATATATCTTATCAAAGAAAAAAAAAATAGAAATCAAACTACATTCCTCTTACTAGGCTATCTATTATAGTGTACACGGCAAATCATTTGAGTTTGCAATTAATCAATGGGATGGACGTAATTTTGACCCAAGGATTAGTATTAATCCGACGTATTTTTATAATATTCTTGAGGTTACGATAAATAATGTAGAATTTTTATCCAAGGAAATATTTGGCAATTTCATGGAGATCAACTTATTGGATGATCTTAAAAAAATTAATGATTATTCATCTAAGTTAGGAGTATTAATCAAAGAAGGGTTATTTTTTGCGTCTAACACCCTTTCGTATTTTTCCAAGAATCACAATGAATTCATCAAAGGATGGAAGAATGATCTTGACTCTCGAGGGAAAATCAATGATTTAGCTGATCCGTATTTAAATTTTATTGAAGAATCCATCGAAAATTGCAAAAAATTTGCTGATCGATTTAACGAATTCCATGAAATTCTTAACAGTGGAATTATGAAACTTGAAGAGTCACTTCGGAAAATTGAAGATAAAACAGATAAAACAATATATGAACAAGTGTTAGAAAAAAAGAACAAGATTGACGAATGGTTTCAAAAATCCAATGAACTATTTCATATTACAAATTATAAGAAGGTAACTAAGAATTTTTTACGTTCTTATTATTAGCTATTGTCAATTTTTATTTAAATGTTTATTATTTTAATAAAAGAAAGTAGATGAAGGAAACGCTAGTTTAAAAGAATTAAATAAAAAAGGATATAAAAATTTGATTATGGATCGTCTAATTGTTGAATTGAAATGCATTATAAATATGCGATTAAAAAGTTTAAAATTAAAAGAAGTATCAGGTAAATTTTAACTATTATAAAAAATATTATATGATGATAGCTAATTTTAAATTTATACATTAGATTTTTGGAAACGAATTTTCGACGAATTTCAAATTAACA